ACACCGCAGACAGAGCCTCTCTCTCTGCTCTAAACTAAACTAAACTAAATGAGGACTTGTGGGGCGAGTTCTCCAGCGCTCGTCTTGTGCAGATCATGTTCCACAGGGTCGTTACGTCGCGGCGGAGGTTTGGGGCGCGGCTCGGACTCGCGGACGTACCACACTCCCACTGACACCTGCGGCTCCGGGTTCAGGTAGAAGTTCACCGTGTGGTTCAGGAGGAGCTCGGGCCGAGTCAGATCTACGAAGAATGGAGCAGCGTCTGGAGCAAAGACACAAGGTCAGAGACGAGAGTCTGAAAACAAAAATCACATCCAGCTACGTTCAAACGATTCAAGAACATCTGACTTTATCTGAGTCGATTCTTGACAAAGTAAAAGATCGACCGATGAAGCTGGAGAAGAAACACAGTTTAATAATGTTTGTGTTTTCATCACTGAGACAAATATTCTTATTTGATTTGATTTAATATTTACTTAAAATGCAGGATTTGGGGTAATTTTGGTCATTTTTTATGCTTAACATGATTATTTGGACTAAACCAGGACTAAACCAGGACTAAACCAGGACTAAACCAGGTCTAAACCAGGACTAAACCAGGTCTAAACCAGGTAAACCAGGACTAAACCAGGACTAAACCAGGTCTAAACCAGGACTAAACCAGGTCTAAACCAGGACTAAACCAGGTCTAAACCAGGACTAAACCAGGACTAAACCAGGACTAAACCAGGTCTAAACAGGACTAAACCAGGTCTAAACAGGACTAAACCAGGTCTAAACAAGGACTAAACCAGGTCTAAACCAGGTCTAAACCAGGACTAAACCAGGTCTAAACCAGGTCTAAACAGGACTAAACCAGGTCTAAACCAGGACTAAACCAGGTTAAAAAACCAGGACTAAACCAGGTCTAAACCAGGTCTAAACCAGGTCTAAACCAGGTCTAAACCAGGACTAAACCAGGTCTAAACCAGGTCTAAACCAGGACTAAACCAGGTCTAAACCAGGTCTAAACCAGGTCTAAACCAGGACTAAACCAGGTCTAAACCAGAGGAGCATAAGTTTTTGTGTTTGTTGTTTCTGTTTGTGTCAGATTTGACTCTGGTCGACTCGTGAGTCCAGGACAAAGTTTGTTTTCTGTCACAGTTTTATTCACACGACGTCCCGACCCGAGTCTGGACCAGAGTTTTATTCTGAAAATCTGGTCGCCCAAAGCAACTTAACATAATAGAATTGTAAAAACACAGAACTGTGATTAGACATGACCTGATGTGAGCGTAAAGACCCGACTCACTGACCTGAGCTGTTAAACACGTCCCTCAAGTCATCAAATGATACATAAACTTATTTCCAGCCCGTGAACTCTGAGCTCAGACGCTTCAGTCTCGTCTAGAGTCGATTATTTGAAGAAAACTCGTCCAGTAAAATGATCTTTCTGCACGGACACGACATTTCAACACTTTAAGTCATTTTCTGATCGATTTAAGAGTTTAAATCTTACATTTTGGACAAGATTTTTTGCCGTGAGGTACGGAAGCCGAGAGGGTCACAACAAACACAAACGCCGCAACAAATACAAACGCCACAACACAAACGCAAATGCCACAACAAACCAAAAAAAAGCCACAACGGAAATGACCGCGGGACTGAAGAACTACAACGTGAAACGAATAATGATAAAACAATAAATTACTTTTACTTACGTTTTCAACTTCTCCGTTCCTTTACTTTTCACGTTGTAGTTCTTCTTCTTCACTTGCCGCTTGATCGGTCCGTCGGAAAATAGAGTCCCACGGTCACTTCTGTTGTGGCTTTTTAATGTGTTGTGGCTTTTTAATGTGTTGTGGCATTTGCGTTTTTGTTGCGGCGTTTGCATTAAAACAGAGTCCCGCGGTCATTTCCGTTGTGGCTTTTTTTGGTTTGTTGTGGCTTTTTGTTGTGTTGTGGCGTTTGTGTTCGTTGCGGCGTTCGCGTTTGTCGTGACCCTCTCGGCTTCCGTAGTGTGGCCTTGTGGTGTTGTCTCCGTGGAAACAGAAATAGAATGTTCCACAGTTTTGAATTAAATGCACCTGTTTTGCATTTGCAGGTGGCAGAAAAGTGACATTGGACTTTTAATCTTAACTTATAAAACATTTGACAGAACTTTCTTTCAAAACGAGCTCTAAAACGTTTGCTCATCTCATTATATAAGATAAAAGTACAAGAGCAAACACATTTAACTCTTCAGACGCAGTGTGAGTGTTTCCCGGCGTCACAAACGTCATAAAACCTTTTCTGGTGTGTTTGACTTACTCCAGTGGCCAAACACGGCGAATCCCAGGATCCAGGGGAAGAGGAAGACGCAGACAGGAGCGCAGACGTACAGCGACACCAAAAACACCAACACTTTCTTCATTTTCACGCACAAACCAAAGCTCCCGTCCCGTCCTGAGATCTCCTCCTCCTCCTCCACAAAACCACCGAGCTGCACGACACAAACAGGACAAAGGTCACGACAAATCAATGACGCGCTGATCTGTGAGCTCGCAAATCTGATGAAACTAAATAAACACAAGTGTCAGACTCTAAACCACAAAGAGAATCTGAATTTACTAAAAGACAAACACTGAAAATGTCTCTGATCAGGCCAAGATTTTAAACCTTCTTCTCTCAGGCTGTTGTTTTCAGATTTATTTTGGACTCACTCGTTCTGAATTAGTTGTATCATCTTAAAAAGTGTCACATATTTTTCTTCCATGACTCAACTCGTCAGAAAATGTGAAATTTAGACCAGGAGAGTCAAACTCAATTTGGTCCAGGGGCCGGATCAGAAAACTCATGTCATATAAACCCCAAAAATAACAATAAGTTCAAATATTTGTGCAGAGAAACACAAATTTATTTCAGAAATCTTTTTTAACTGATGAACTTTCTTTTATAAAACATTATATTATGAACAACCTGAAACTTTAAGAAAAACACAATTTCAACACAAAGTTTAACATAATTATAATAGATGCAAAAGGGAAAAAACAAACAAGAAAAAAACTAAAAAAAACCTGAATGATAATATAAAGAAATGAAATAAAGGTTTTGATAGGTAAAATAAAATAAGAGGTTCTGCGTCTTTGTCCCAGTTTTATACAAAAAATGTCCCAGGTGTCCCTGTTTTTGACCAATCTGACGCCCACCAACAGTAAAAAGAGAAATATATTGTCATTTGTTTTGCTAAAATACAGAAAATTGAGCTTGAAAATTATCAGAAGAAAATAAAAACACAGTCAGAACAAGTCTCTCAGATTATGACTGACCAATAAGTAAATTATAAATGAACAATTAGTGATAGTTATGTTCTTTTTACAGTGTTATTTACACCAACCATCTAAACCCGACTTTTGAAGATCTGCTCACCCTAACAAGTTATTTTAAGTGAATTTTTTTTAAGTGAATTTATTTTAAGTGAAGTTATTTTAAGTGAATTTATTTTAAGTGAATTTATTTTAAGTGAAGTTATTTTAAGTGAAGTTATTTTAATAGATCCATGGCCAAAGTTTGCAGCACAAATATTCAACACTAGGGGCCCCTGTTTCCCCGGGACAGTCCCAGTCCTGAGCCTACACATTTATCCAAAAAAACTGATTTGTCCCAGTTTTATACAAGAAATGTCCCAATCTGATCCTGCCAGCAGTAAAAAGAGACATAAACTGTCATTTGTTTTGGTAAAAATACAGAAAATCTGCATAAAAACGACAAAAACACAAAGAAAATGTGACTAAACTGACTCATATGTCTCTGCGTAACGGTTTTTCTTAATTTCGCACTCGTTTCACAATTTTATTATTTCCAATCATCACAAACACGTGTCACAGTTTTTAATCTGGTCACATGTTTCACGTAAAAGAATAAAAGTGATAAAACTACTGACCGAGTTTACTCCGAGCACCGTGGAACTGAAAAGAGCCACGAAACAAAGCAACGCGGTCTAAAAGCTGAGATTAAACCGTGCACAGTATGTTTATAGTTTAATTATTATCGAAACTTGTTGGAACTTGCAAAAAAATTAAAAATTCTAATATGAACGCCCGAAGTGCAACGCGTTGTTGTTGTTCCGGTTTGAGGTCAGAGAATTATTTTAAAATTAAATTAAAATTAAAGAGTACATATAAAATACAAATATAAAATACAAATATAAATATGAATAAAAATATAAAATAAAAATTCTAATGCGAACGATCTAAGTGCAGCTCGTTGTTGTTGTTCCGGTTTGAGGTCAGAGTACTATTTTAAAATAAAATAAAAATAAAAAGTAAATATAAAATACATATATAAAATCAAAATATAAATATAAAATAAAAACATAAAATAATATTATAAAAAAAATAAAATTCTAATCTGAACTTTGGAAGTGCAACTCGTTGTGTTGTTGTTCCGGTTTGAGGTCGTAGAACTATTTTAAAATAAATAAAAATTAAAAAATAAATATAAATGATAATATACACATAAAAATGCAAATACAAATAAAAGTATAAAATAAAAACAAAGATATAAAATAAAAATATAAACGTTCCTGCGGGGGCGGGTCTCGGAGCTCCGGGGCCGGGCTTGGGTCGATCAAACCGGGGGGAGTCTGTGGGTCACCGCCCCTTCCTCTTCCAGACCCGCTTTTCAAACCCGCTCCAGCCCCGGGGAGGATGAACCAGCGCTCTCACAAAGCCCGGACCAACACACAACAACTTTCCCTGGACATAAAACACTTTTGAAAACTTTTAAAGCCAAAAACTTCCACATTTTCTCCAGATTTTCGGCGGAATCCTCCCGGGACCGGACGCGTTACGCACCGATGGGAGGAAAGCCCAAAAGTTTGCCAAAAATCCGCCTTTAACCAAAAAAAGACGGACAAAAAGAGGGACACGGGGTATTCCCAGGCCCATAAACCTTTAGGTGAGTGACTTTATCCCAAATATAAATTGTTAAATGAGTTTTTACGGCGACATTTTGTGCGTAAATGTTCCATGTGTTGTGCATTAAAACGATGGAAGTTTGTAACGGCCGCACACGCCTCAGGACGCGTGAGCTGTTTGTTATTTCAGGCTCAGAAACGTTTTTATGACTTTATTGTGGGGAAATTTAATGTGCTTTTATTTGTTTAAGCTTTGTTTTTGTGGATTTGTGAGGTAAAAATGGCTTGACTTGACTCAGTGGCGCAAATAGAGGAAGATGTGTCACAGAAGTTTGACATTTTTATTTATTTTTAGACTAAAATTAACACATTGGATTAAAAAAAGACAAATGCAGTGTGATATTATTAATAAAAAAACATTAGTAGACCATCCTATATATATATATAATATATATATATATGATATATATATATATATATATATATATATAATAATATTGATATATATATTATATATATCGTATCGTTTAATATGATGATACAGAGTCGATATCGTGAGCTATTGTTTCGATATCGCCAAGAGGATTTTGAAGTGTATTTTATGAAATTATTTAAGAGCTGCAGTTGTGTTGACATTTTCACTGTTTTGAGTAAAATGGGTGAACTGAACCGTATCGATTCAGTTTAAAATATATCGTATCGAATCGTATTGAATCGAAAGTGCACTGTATTGAAAAACGTATCGTATCGTGGCCTTTGTATCGAGGTGTTTATCGTATCGGTGTATCGGCAACGTCTTCATGTTACCCAGCCCTAACTACTAGTGTTGAAGTTAAGACCGGACTAATCAAGACCAAGACCAGTCCAAGACCGCAGGCCCCGAGACCGAGACGAGACCGAGACGAGACCGAGACTTTTAAAGACCGAGCCAAGACTGAGACCTCGGCCCATCGAGACCAAATCAAGACCGTCTTTGTAATTTTCAACATTTATTTGTGTTTTACAGATATTTTGGTACAAATGTACAGAGCAGCTGTGGGGGCTTAAAAGTCTTAAAAAGTCTTAAATGATGTTGTCCAGGTCTTATTTTTTTTCATAAACATCTTAAATTTCATTAGTCTGTTTTTTTGTTTACTCGACCAGGCTGCAGAGCGACGTTAAATGGAGGAGGAAATAAAACACACAATACTTAGTTTATCTTGTTAGAAGCAGCGCGTACGACTAAAAGAAGTTCTGAATGAGATTTTATAATAATTTTAGTTATTTAAAGCAGTGAGTGATGGTCATTTTTTTAGAGTTGGATCTGGTGTGTTTCACCTGCGTGATGGGAGCAGTGTTGGTCTTAATTTTCATTGAAATGGTCTTAAAAAGGTCTTAAATCTTAAATATGATTTAGTCAAACCTGGGAATCCTCTGATATATCAATGTTTTTATTAGGGCCGTAACGATATCCAGTGTCACGATACGATATCGTCACAGTATGAACCTCACGCTACGATATTTATTGCGATATCGTGGAAGAGTTCATGATATGTTGGGGAGGCTCATGATTGGAGATGAAACAATATCCAAATGTCTCTGTACGATATTTCCGTCCATCCATTTTCTAAGTCAGTCGAAGCAGCGACGTTCGATATTTGTTGCAATATTTTGTGGAGTCTAACAAAACTGTGAATATTTGACTTTTTCCTCTTAAAATGTCTTGACAAAACTTAATCCAAAGAACTCAGAGTTAAAAGTGTCAGAACTTTTATTTCTTCTTGTCGTTTGCACTGAAATGGAGCAAAGGATCCTGGTCTGTGTTTTTAACTCTTCATTTAAACAAAGACTTTTGTGATTCGATTTATTGTGATGATCCACGATATTATTGTGAGAACTTTGACGATACGATATCACCAGATTTCACTTATTGTTACGTCCCTAGTTTTTATAAATCTGTTCACATTTTATCGCCGGTCGAGTCTCAGACCTCGAGACCGAGACAAGACCAAAGAGTCCAAACGTGGTCGAGTCCAAGACGAGACCAAAACCGGTCTTGAATACTACGACACTACTAACCTGGGATGTAAAAAGAACCAAAATATGGTGATATCGTATCGTCAAAGTTCTCTCAATAATATCGTGGACCATCATGATTTATCAAATTATTATAAACTTCTTTACTTAAATGCACTTTTTTATTGCAGCAACAGTTAAAAACCTGAGGAATCTTCATAAACTGTGATCTTTTATTCCATTTTTTATTCTGAAAATACGAAGAAATCACAGTTTAGAATTTTTCTATCTTAATTCTTTAGATTATGACCTGAAAAGAGTCGAGGCTTTTAAAACAGAACAAGTCACATTTCTTCAGTTCTGTTTCCATCTCCACACAATCGTATCGTGAAATAAATATCATAACTGTATCGTATCGTGTGATTCACAAATCGTTAGATCCTGACTCGGCTTTAGATATTTTAACTTTACCTTCAGCAGCAAAAACAAAACTAGATTTTTTTTTTTATTAAGATCTACTACTTTTATTAAAATCTTCTGTTCATTTTTATGATTTGACCAAGAGAAATGAATCACTTTATAAGAAAAGACTTCAACTTTTAAATGATTTTTAATGGAAATTTACTTTTTTTAACAAAACTGACGAATGAAAAAATGACTTGACTGTTTAGAAAAAGACTTTGATGGATTAATTATTGTTGTTATAATTAATATTTTGGTGCAGTGTGACTGGATGAGTTTGTATTGACCTGAGCCTCAGTCTGTGTCTCTGCTCCATTGATTTTCTGAATGAAACTGTCAGATTGGTGCCGCGGACAGACTCGTGCACAGACTCGTGCGCAGACTCGTGCACAGACTCGTGCGCGTGACTCTGTCCACTGGAGCGATGTGGAAATGTCCCAGATACGTCTGGTGTGGCTCAGTGTGGCTCAGTGTGGCTCAGTGTGGCTCAGTGTGGCTCAGTGTGGCTCAGTGTGGCTCAGTGTGGTGGATCTGGGCCGTGGCGTCGGCGTTGGTCACACAGACGTGATCGTGTCTGTCGACGTGTCTCTGAGTCCAGATAAAGTCCTGACCAGAGGGTCCAGAGCAAAAAAAGAATGTTCACTGATAAAGTCTCATTTATTTGAGCCACATGAAATATTCAGAACATTCAAAGCTTTAAAAACAAATAATAAAATCTTAAAATCAACTCTAAAACAAACCAGAAGTGATCAGTGTGAAATGTTCTCGTTTTTTGGTTCCTGTTAAAAGTCGTGTTGAACTGAACTGCAGACGGGAAAGTTTGTTTTGAGAGACGCTCGTGTAAAAGTGCGTCGCAGTCGTCCAGACGTGACAAAATAAAAGCGTCAGGACCTGAACAAAAAGATTAAAAGATAAAAAACTTTGGATAAAAGACGTCGTTTATCTGCTCATCAAATTTAAGTTCAGTGTCCGGACGCCGAGGCCGAGGCTGTGGGACGAACGTGAACATGACCTGAGTCTTTCCTTCATTCACTTTTTAAAACATTTTGAGCCGAATAAAGACTTGAGTCACTCGGACCAGACTGTCAATACAAGACGTCAGAAACTTTTAAACTTTGACCCGTCACTTTAAACACATGAACAGCTCTGACTAACTCAGTCCTGTCACTACTTTTATTCACACTAAACGCTCATGGACATTTCTACTTTTAGACACTGTTTAATTTTTGTTCTGTACTCGTCCTCGTTGAGCAGATTTTAAATATCTTATTTTTGCTTAATAGTTTAAAGTGTTTTTAGGTTTAGTTGTTTCATAAATCGACCCCACGTCGTGTGATAAACTTTTTTTTCACTGTTGTTTGGAAGAATATTTTTTTAAAGTTCGTCTTTTTCATTCTCTGTCACAAACATATTTAGAATATTTTCTTGTAGAAGTTTGTGTCGAGCTTCATAAAGTAACTGTAATGTTTGAAGTTGAATAAACAGTTACAGTTGTAGAGTTTTATTTACGGTGTTAAAACAGACCAGAGGCTGAAGTAAAAGTGAAGCTGAAGTGGTGGAGGATTAGTCTGAACTCTGACCCCCGAACCCAGACCAGGGACCAGGGACCAGGGACCAGAGACCAGGGACCAGAGACCAGAGACCAGAGACCAGAGACCAGAGACCAGAGACCAGGACCAGGGACCAGGGACCAGGGACCAGGGACCAGAGACCAGGGACCAGGGACCAGACTGTCAGAGGCCGAGGACTCAGACCAGGGACCAGAGTGGGTCTGTGGGAGGAGCAGGAGGTTCAGTCCAGGTGTTTCTGTCACTCGGTTTCTGTGGGTTGATTTAGTCTCATTTGAAACTCTTTTGGAAACTTGTTCTTGTGCTGCAGACGTCAGACTCTGACCCTGTGAGGAGGAGGAGGAGGAGGAGGATTATCTGCTGCTGGAGACAATAAACACTCAGGACATTCTTAGACCAGGGTCAGAGTCACATTTAAACTCAGTGATTCTTCACCTCGAACAGTTTTCAGCCTGAACATCTAGATCAGATTTAACAACAAAACCATGTGGAGAAACTTCAGGAGATTATTTGTTTTTGTCATTAAACCTAAGTTTTTTTCTTCACTTTCTTCACTCGCTGTTTTTGTTGATAAAATATTTAGAGTCTTTTTTTCTGGAGTGATTTCTGTTCAGCCGCTCGTGCAGATGTGACGACAGCTGCACCAGCGAGAAGCTTTAAGAGGAACAAACCCACAGGCTTTTGTGATGGAGGAAGAGGAGGAGGAGGAGAAGAGGGGGAGGAGGAGGAGGGAGGAGGAGGAGGAGGAGGAGGTCTCCTCCTCCTCCTCCTCCTCTTCACACACACACAGAGACACACACACAGAGACACACACACACACACAGACACACACACACACAGAGACACACACACACACACAGAGACACACACACACAGAGACACACACACACACAAGGAGGAGGAGGAGCTGGAGATAATCACAGCAGGAGGATAAAAGTGCTCGTGCATCATTTATGAACTTCTGGGTGATTTTTTTTTTGAAGCTCGTGCACATTTATTTGTTTTAATATATTGAAGAAATTCCAGTGTTAAAAATTTAAAAAAGATAAAAAAGGAGAATCCAGAACAGAGACTGACTGATACTTTTTTTTTCAGTTTCCCACGATTCGATGTGATCTCGAATCTCGATACACGAGTCACAATATCAATTTTAATTCGTTTTAAGACACAAAAAAATCATGCCTTTTTTTTCTGGTAATGTGTAAAATATAAAAACACAAGACGCACACTCGTACAGCTGGAGTTTATGTTGAATTTATTTATATATTTAGGTGCTTTGTTGCATTTTTTTGTAGGAAAATCTCTCAGTAAATAAAGTTTGATTTGATTGATGTGAAGTGTTTAGTTTGTTTTTATTCAGTGAAAATCAGACCAGAGTTTTTTTTATATTTGATAATAAACCAGTCGACTTCACACAGAGACAGTACGAGGCTCCTCCCACACAGCAGAGACAGTACGAGGCTCCTCCCACACAGCAGAGACAGTACGAGGCTCCTCCCACACAGCAGAGACAGTACGAGGCTCCTCCCACACAGCCGAGACAGTACGAGGCTCCTCCCACACAGCAGAGACAGTACGAGGCTCCTCCCACTCTGCCCCCAGTGTGACCTATAAAAAAATCATTAATTTCTCCAAAACTAAAGCAGCACAAACCAAACTTTTTGCAGCACAAACGAAGCTGAACGACTGACATTTTGTTGTGTAGGTTTGAGTTTGTTGGGGCGACTTCTCAGACGTCACACATCACTCTTTTTTTTTTTTTTTTTTTTTTTTTTTTTTTTTGTCCAATCCAAACGTAAATCTCACAAGCTCAGGGTTTTTCTCTTGTGGCACCAAATCCTTGGTCCTTTGAGGCTTTAAATGTGAAAATAGAAAAGCAAAAATTAGCAGTTAAGTTTTTTTTTTTTTTTCTTTGCTGCATAATTCCAAACTTCTTGCTTCATGTATTCGAAGTCTCCTATGTGTTTTATGAAATGTAAAAAGTCGTAAACGTAAAGAAAAAAAAACCCTGAGTGAGACGGTTTTGTTGGGACTTTACTTTCCGTTTTTATTCTTTGGAGTTTTAGAGTTTGACTTTGCGTGAATCGTCCGGGAATAGCTCCACGGTCAGTGTCAAACGCCGCCGTTAAATCCCCGATGCTCTAATCAGAGTAAAGTGGATTAACTCAGTCACAGAACGGAGGAGGGAGTGACCCGCCGAGAACACAGAACACACATCCACCACAGGATCCACCACAGATCCACCGCTCCACATCACTCATGAACGCACTTTTAGAAGCGTTAACGGGTCGACCTGTGAGTACACGAGGATGAAACTAGTGAAAACTTGTAGTAAACTCTTAAATGTGATGATGATGTTGATGATGTTTTGGTGTAAAAGTCGTCTGATCTGCTGCCGTATGTTCTGTTCTCGTTCTTCTGAAGTGTGACACCGTGTTTGCCGCGTGTTGTGTGTCTTCTTCAGTGTGTAATGTGTTTTCTAAAGCGTGTTGTGTGTTTTTGTGTGTTTTTGTGCATTGTAGGGCCTCCTGCGGTGTGTGATGGACGTGTTGTGTATTTTCTGAAGCGTGTTGTGTGTTTTTTGTGTGTTGTAGGGCCTGTTGCGGTGTGTGATGGGCGTGTTGTGTATTTTCTGAAGCGTGTTGTGTGTTTTTTGTGCGTTGTAGGGCCTCCTGCGGTGTGTGATGGGCGTGTTGTGTATTTTCTGAAGTGTGTTGTGTGTTTTTGTGCATTGTAGGGCCTCCTGCGGTGTGTGATGGGCGTGTTGTGTGTTTTTTGTGCGTTGTAGGGCCTCCTGCGGTGTGTGATGGGCGTGTTGTGTGTTTTTGTGCATTGTAGGGCCTGTTGCGGTGTGTGATGGGCGTGTTGTGTGTTTTTTTTGTGCGTTGTAGGGCCTCCTGCGGTGTGTGATGGGCATGTTGTGTGTTTTTGTGCGTTGTAGGGCCTGTTGCGGTGTGTGATGGGCGTGTTGTGTGTTTTTTTGTGCGTTGTAGGGCCTGTTGTGGTGTGTGATGGGCGTGTTGTGTGTTTTTGTGCGTTGTAGGGCCTGTTGCGGTGTGTGATGGGCGTGTTGTGTGTTTTTTGTGTGTTGTAGGGCCTCCTGCGGTGTGTGATGGGCGTGTTGTGTGTTTTTGTGCGTTGTAGGGCCTGTTGCGGTGTGTGATGGGCGTGTTGTGTGTTTTTTGTGCGTTGTAGGGCCTCCTGCGGTGTGTGATGGGCGTGTTGTGTGTTTTTTGTGCGTTGTAGGGCCTCCTGCGGTGTGTGATGGGCGTGTTGTGTGTTTTTTGTGCGTTGTAGGGCCTGTTGCGGTGTGTGATGGGCGTGTTGTGTGTTTTTTGTGCGTTGTAGGGCCTGTTGCGGTGTGTGATGGGCGTGTTGTGTGTTTTTTGTGCGTTGTAGGGCCTGTTGCGGTGTGTGATGGGCGTGTTGTGTGTTTTTGTGCGTTGTAGGGCCTGTTGCGGTGTGTGATGGGCGTGTTGTGTGTTTTTTGTGCGTTGTAGGGCCTCCTGCGGTGTGTGATGGGCGTGTTGTGTGTTTTTGTGCATTGTAGGGCCTGTTGCGGTGTGTGATGGGCGTGTGTGTGTTTTTTTGTTTGCGTTGTAGGGCCTGTTGCGGTGTGTGATGGGCGTGTTGTGTGTTTTGTGCGTTGTAGGGCCTGTTGCGGTGTGTGATGGGCGTGTTGTGTGTTTTTTGTGTGTTGTAGGGCCTCCTGCGGTGTGTGATGGGCGTGTTGTGTGTTTTTGTGCGTTGTAGGGCCTGTTGCGGTGTGTGATGGGCGTGTTGTGTGTTTTTTGTGTGTTGTAGGGCCTGTTGCGGTGTGTGATGGGCGTGTTGTGTGTTTTTGTGCGTTGTAGGGCCTGTTGCGGTGTGTGATGGGCGTGTTGTGTGTTTTTTGTGCGTTGTAGGGCCTCCTGCGGTGTGTGATGGGCGTGTTGTGTGTTTTTTGTGCGTTGTAGGGCCTGTCCTGCGGTGTGTGATGGGCGTGTTGTGTGTTTTTTTGTGCGTTGTAGGGCCTGTTGCGGTGTGTGATGGGCGTGTTTGTGTGTTTTTTGTGCGTTGTAGGGCCTGTTGCGGTGTGTGATGGGCGTGTTGTGTGTTTTTTGTGCGTTGTAGGGCCTGTTGCGGTGTGTGATGGCGTGTTGTGTGTTTTTGTGCGTTGTAGGGCCTGTTTCGGTGTGTGATGGGCGTTGTTGTGTGTTTTTTGTGCGTTGTAGGGCCTGTTGCGGTGTGTGATGGGCGTGTTGTGTGTTTTTGTGCGTTGTAGGGCCTCCTGCTGTGTGTGATGGGCGTGTTGTGTGTTTTTGTGCATTGTAGGGCCTGTTGCGGTGTGTGATGGGCGTGTTGTGTGTGTTTTTTGTGCGTTGTAGGGCCTGTTGCGGTGTGTGATGGGCGTGTTGTGTTTTTTGTGCGTTGTAGGGCCTGTTGCGGTGTGTGATGGGCGTGTTGTGTGTTTTTTTGTGCGTTGTAGGGCCTGTTGCGGTGTGTGATGGACGTGTTGTGTGTTTTTTGTGCGTTGTAGGGCCTGTTGCGGTGTGTGTGATGGACGTGTTGTGTGTTTTTTGTGCGTTGTAGGGCCTGTTGCGGTGTGTGTGATGGGTGTGTTGTGGTTTTTTGTGCGTTGTAGGGCCTGTGCGGTGTGTGTGATGGTCGTGTTGTGTGTTTTTGTGCGTTGTAGGGCCTGTTGCGGTGTGTGATGGGCGTGTTGTGTGTTTTTTGTGTGTTGTAGGGCCTCCTGCGGTGTGTGATGGGCGTGTTGTGTGTTTTTGTGCGTTGTAGGGCCTGTTGCGGTGTGTGATGGGCGTGTTGTGTGTTTTTTGTGCGTTGTAGGGCCTGTTTCGGTGTGTGATGGGCGTGTGTGTGTTTTTGTGCGTTGTAGGGCCTGTTGCGGTGTGTGATGGACGTGTTGTGTGTTTTTTGTGCGTTGTAGGGCCTGTTGCGGTGTGTGATGGCGTGTTGTGTGTTTTTGTGCGTTGTAGGGCCTGTTGCGGTGTGTGATGGGCGTGTTGTGTGTTTTTTGTGCGTTGTAGGGCCTGTTGCGGTGTGTGATGGGCGTGTTGTGTGTTTTTGTGCGTTGTAGGGCCTGTTGCGGTGTGTGATGGTGTTTGTGTTTTGTGTGTTGTAGGCCTGTTGCGGTGTGTGTGATGGGTGTGTTGTGTGTGTTTTTGTGCGTTGTAGGGCCTGTTGCGGTGTGTGATGGACGTGTTGTGTGTTTTTGTGCGTTGTAGGGCCTGTTGCGGTGTGTGATGGACGTGTTGTTGTGTGTTTTTTGTGCGTTGTAGGGCCTGTTGCGGTGTGTGATGGGCGTGTTGTGTGTTTTTTGTGCGTTGTAGGGCCTGTTGCGGTGTGTGATGGGCGTGTTGTGTGTTTTTTGTGCGTTGTAGGGCCTGTTGCGGTGTGTGATGGGCGTGTTGTTGTGTTTTTGTGCGTTGTAGGGCCTGTTGCGGTGTGTGATGGGCGTGTTGTGTGTTTTTGTGCGTTGTAGGGCCTGTTGCGGTGTGTGATGGGCGAGGGTCAGGAGGCGCCGTACGAGGAGCAGCTCAGAGGAGTGTTTGACAGTTTCGACGGGAGCGGCGTTGGTTCTCTGTCGCAGGACGAGCTGTTGGATCTTTGTGAGTCTCTTCATCTCCAGGACGCCACACCTGCCCTGCTCCAGACTCTGCTGCTCGGCCCCGACGCGCCACACGCCCGGGTCAGTCCCTCCTACACACTTTTATTAAATTATATTAGATTATTATTATATTCTGAAACTTCTGTTTTGTGGATTTGAGATAAAAATGTCCTGATGTGACTCATTGGTACAAACAGAGGCAGACGTGTCACTGTGACTGAAAATGGAAAAAAAAACAGAAATTGACTCAAAGTTTGACATTTTAAATTTTTTACACTAAAATTAACACACTGGACTTTAATTTACTCACCTGACTTGGCACTGGGGACTGGACTGTGCAAAAATATGGAAATATCGATAAATTGTGTCGTCTTAATTTGTCGACACAGAATCGATATCGTGGGCTGCTGTTTCGAGTATTTTTAGGTTTATTTTAATCAATTATTTTGTGTAAAAGCTGCAGTTGTGTTCACATTTTTACTGTTTGGAGTAAAATGAAAATAAATCTAAGTGTTTTTTTTCATTTTAATTCTGCTCAGACTTGTTGGACTTTTAGTATCTGAGCCGTGATTTGTTTTAGTTTTTACTGAATCGTATCAAATTGATTTGAAATAAATCGTGCTGAATCATGTTGAATGGAAATGCAGTTTTCAAAATCGTATCATAAACTTCTTAGATTCTTTTTAAAGACAAATACAGCTGGAGATGTGTTTTGTTCTTTCTGCTGCGTCTTCAGACACGACGACTCGTCCGACCTGAAACTAAAAAACTAAATGAACCTTTTTGGATCCAGAGAAACGTCCAGACGAGTCGAGAGTCGAACACAGAACCTCGTGACTGTGAGGCGAGAGCGACGCCCGCTCAAGCACCGAGCTGTGTGTCTGTGTCTGACCCTCCGCCGGAAAAGTTCCACAGTGCAGCTTTAAGGTTAAGACCAGGACAAGTTTAATTCTGCTGTCCTCAGGTTTAAAAGCTGCACTGTGGAACTTTTCTCCTGGAGGCTGCATGAAGGGCTGGTATCATTATGAAGCTGCCGATACGATACATACCTCGATACGTAGGCCACGATACGATACATACCTCGATACACAGGCCACGATACGATACATACCTCGATACACAGGCCACGATACGATACATACCTCGATACACAGGCCACGATACGATACATACCTCGATACGTAGGCCACGATACGATACATACCTCGATACGTAGGCCACGATACGATACATACCTCGATACACAGGCCACGATACGATACATACCTCGATACGATACATACCTCGATACGATACATACCTCGATACGTAGGCCTCGATACGATACATACCTCGATACGATACATACCTCGATACGATACATACCTCGATACGTAGGCCTCGATACGATACATACCTCGATACGATACATACCTCGATACGTAGGCCTCGATACGATACATACCTCGATACGCAGGCCACGATACGATGCATACGTCTTTACAGTGCTTTTTCGGTTCAGTACGATATATTTCAAATCAATTCGATACGGTTCAATAAAAAATAAAGTCTAAATCGTGGCTGTGACACTAAAAGTCTTTGTTAAATCACTTTTGGTGCAAATTTAATATGAAACACAAACATTTTAATCTTGAAAACAGTAAAAAAAAAAATTCCTCTAAACAAGCAACAAAACTGTAGCTGTAACAAAATAATTTAGTAAAATATACCAAAAAATAGACTTGGCGATATATCGATACAGCAGCCCACGATATCGATACTGTATCATTATTACATTAAACGATACGATATATCGATCTGTAGATTTTTTGCACAGCTCTAGCTTCATCAGACTCTGCTCTTGTTTTGTGTGGAATGTTCCGCAGTACGGCATTAAACCTTTGTATCTCCATGGAGACCAAACCAGACGGTGTTCCAGGTCAGATCTGTGGAGAGGCGACTCCGCTCACAGTCACAGTGTCTGTTTTGTTTTTTCGAGGGATTTTTGACTCTTAAACCTCGAGAAAAAGTCGAGATGTTTAAAGTTACACTGTGGAACATTCTAGACAGAACAGTGGGTCTGCGTCGGGATTTTTGGTCTTTTTTTTGGGGGTTTTTGAGTGAAACTGGAGCATCTGGAAAAACCCCAAACCAGACAGAACATGTAAACTACCTCCACAAATCAAACAAAACCTGCTCCAGGCTCCACAAAAGCTCTGGGCCTGTGTGTGTGTGTGTGTGTGTTGTGTGTGTTGTGTGTGTTGTGTCGTTGTGTGTGTTGTGTCGTTGTGTGTGTGTCGTGTTGTGTGTGTGTGTTGTGTGTGTCGTGTGTGTGTCGTGTGTGTGTCGTGTGTCGTGTGTGTGTGTGTGTGTCGTCGTGTGTGTTGTGTGTGTCATGTTGTGTGTGTCGTGTGTGTGTCGTGTGTGTTGTGTTGTGTCGTCGTGTGTGTGTGTGTTGTGTGTCGTGTGTGTGTGTGTGTGTGTGTGTGTGTGTGTGTGTGTGTGTTGTGTGTCGTGTGTGTGTGTCGTGTGTGTGTGTGTGTGTGTTGTGTGTGTGTGTGTGTGTGTGTGTTGTGTGTGTGTGTGTGTGTGTGTGTCGTGTGTGTGTGTGTGTGTGTGTGTGTGTCGTGTGTCGTGTGTGTGTGTGTGTGTGTGTCGTGTTGTGTGTGTGTGTGTGTGTGTGTGTGTGTGTCGTGTGTGTGTGTTGTGTGTGTCATGTGTGTGTGTGTGTGTGTGTCGTGTTGTGTGTGTGTTGTGTGTTGTGTGTCGTGTGTGTGTGTGTTGTGTGTGTGTGTCGTGTGTGTGTGTGTGTGTGTTTGTGTGTTGTGTGTGTGTGTCGTGTGTGTGTGTGTGTTCGTGTGTGTGTGTGTTCGTGTGTGTGTGTGTGTGTGTGTGTGTGTCGTGTGTGTGTGTGTTGTGTGTGTGTTGTGTGTGTGTGTGTGTGTGTGTGTGTGTGTGTGTGTGTTGTGTGTGTGTGTGTGTGTGTGTGTGTGTGTGTCGTGTGTGTGTGTGTGTGTGTGTGTGTGTGTGTGTGTGTGTGTGTGTGTGTGTGTGTGTGTGTGTGTGTGTGTGTGTGTGTGTGTGTTTGTTGTGTGTGTGTCGTGTGTGTTGTGTGTGTGTGTGTGTGTGTGTCGTGTGTGTGTGTGTGTGTGTTGTGTTGTGTGTGTGTTGTGTGTGTGTGTGTGTGTGTGTGTCGTGTGTGTGTGTGTGTGTGTGTGTGTGTGTCGTGTGTGTGTCGTGTGTGTGTGTGTGTGTCGTGTGTGTGTGTGTGTGTGTGTGTGTGTTGTGTGTGTGTGTGTGTGTCGTGTGTGTGTGTGTGTGTGTGTGTGTTGTGTGTGTGTGTGTGTGTGTGTGTGTGTGTGTGTGTGTGTCGTGTGTGTGTGTGTTGTGTGTGTGTGTGTGTGTGTGTGTGTGTGTTGTGTGTCGTGTGTGTGTGTCGTGTGTGTGTGTTGTGTGTGTGTGTCGTGTGTGTGTGTGTGTGTGTGTGTGTGTGTTGTGTGTGTGTGTGTGTGTGTGTGTGTGTCGTGTTGTGTGTGTGTGTGTGTGTGTGTCGTGTTTGTGTGTGTTGTGTTGTGTGTGTGTGTGTGTGTGTGTGTTGTGTGTCGTGTGTGTGTGTGTGTGTGTGTGTGTGTGTGTGTGTGTCGTGTTGTGTGTCGTGTGTGTGTCTTGTGTGTGTCGTGTGTGTTGTGAAGGATCTTGTGTTGTGAAGCATCATTATCGGGCCCTGGTGTGTTTCCGTGGTAACAGACGGCAGGTGAGGGTTCGGTGTCTGAAAGGGTCGAGCACCAGACGGAAAAGCTCCAGATACAAAGAACTGAACAAAACCAAGAGCCTCGAATCCGAGCTTCTGTCGAGATCAAAGAACCGGAGAGAAAAGATCTGAAGTCACAAGACGAACTGAAGAACGAGGAAAAAACTCACACGTTTGACCTGACGCAAAAAACTGTGACTCGTGTGAGATTTAATCCATGTTCCAACTCAAAAACAAACCTACAGTTGTGTTTGTTTCTTTATTATTCGTCTGTTTACATCTCCAAAGCTCCAAACGCTCTGTTCCACCTTGTGATGTCATGAAGTGGTGGTTTTCAAGTGAACAGCTCCTTTTCTTTTAGTTCAGTCGAGATTCTGAAATGATCCAAATGAGTCTGGTGAAGGTGTGTGGAGTTTAAAAACACAGTGGAGCACTTCAGCTACTGCTGGAGTCAAGACCGAACTAATCCAGACCAAGACCAGACCAAGACCAGACCAAGACCTCAGGGTCCATCCAGACCAAAAGACCAGAGACCGTCTTTGTCATTTTCCACATTTATTTGTATTTTACTGATATTTTGTCAGAAATATGTGAATGTTTTTATAAATCTGTCTTCATTTAATCACTCAGACCTCGAGCCCGAGACGAGACCAAGACTGTAAAAAAAAAAGTCTCAAGGCCGGTCTTGGTCTCGAGTTCTACGACACTGTGTATCACCACGTGACATCACAAGGTGGAACAGTGTTTTGTGTGTGAGAACAGGTTTGTGTGTCAAACATGTGAAAGAAACAAAACACAACAGGTCAAGATTAGAACAGCTGAAAGTTCGAGATTCAGTTTGAATCATTCAGGACTTTTAAAAATCACACTTCCTCCCACAGATTTGTTCAGTTCACGACATTTTTGTAAATAGAACAAAATGTTTTTCTGTGGGTTGAAAAAAGTAAAAATATTGGTGCCAAATATCTGCAAAATATCGATAAATCGTGACACGGATCTTTATAAAAACCCTCTGATATCAGAACAACGAGTCCAAAAGTTCAGCTTCAGTGTTTCATCTGAAACACAAACGCACAAACTGAACAACACAAACGCACAAACTGCAGAGCTGCACTTTGTCTTTGTGGTCGTGTTGATACACAAACATGTGGGCGTCCGGGTCCAGAGCAAAACTCAGAACCTCTGACTCGACTCGACTCGACTCTTTGGTCCTTTTTTGTTCTAAACCAAAGAAAAGAAAAAGAAAAGCAACAAAAGATTCTTCAGATTCACACACACAGCAGCTGTGTCCTTCACACACAACAAACTACACACAACAAACTACACACACACACACACAACACAATACACACACACACAATACACACAACACAACACACACACACACACACACACACACACACACACACACACACACACACACACACACACAGAGACACACACACACACAGAGAGACACACACACACACACACACACACACACACGAGACACACACACACACACACACACAGAGACACACACACACACACACACAGAGAGACACACACACACACACACACACACACACACACACACACAGAGACACACACACACACACATATAAACACCAGAATCTCTGGACATATTTTCTTATCTCGTTTGTCTCGTTCTTGTGATGTTTATAAAGACACTGTGGAACTTTTCTGCTGGAGGATTTGAAGATTTTCACATAAAAACATGAGACGTTTTATCATAAAGAGACAATGACACTGGTCCAAAATGAATCTTAATGTAAATACAGGAAGAACGTGACAAACTCTGGGATTAAATCATGTAAATAAATAAATAAATAAAAATAATTAATACAAGAAAAAATACAAGAAACATAAAAAACACACTTTAGTTTTAGTGTAATTTGTCTTTTTAAACCCACTTTACTCTGTGGCTTTAACACTGTGTGAGATCTGTGCTCCTCTGTGTCTTTTTATGTGTTTTATTGTATTTATTTGATTTATTTACTGTTATTTTATGATTTTGAAGGTTTTGCTTTTATTTTTTATTTTACTGTTTTTATTGTTTTAGGATCGATGTGACTCAGTGACTCGTCTCAGATTTGGCTGAAAAAATGTTCCCGAGTTATGGCCTGTTGAAATTTTCAGAAATGTCACAAATATTCAGGTTCAGTTAGTTTGTAAAAATCTGCTTGGAGTAAATATATTTTGGACCTCAAAAATTGAAAAAAAAAAAAATTAAGCAGCAACCAAATGTGAGATTTTGGGGCCACGCGGCCCCTGGAGCCGCCCTGGTTCTTCACAAGAAAAGATGATGATCATGTGTCAATATTTATTCTTAGTCATTTCAACTCACCGTGAAAACTAAAATAAAGACAGACACAGAAAATGTCTCAGCTTTACATAAACACCTTTAAATAAATGCACAATTGAAACAATATTTACCGTGTTCGTCTGTACAACACCAGCGGGAGTTAAGTAGTGTGTCTTTCATTTTGACGTATTTCTGTTTCTATCGTCCTTTTCTTTCTTTTTCTATTTTCTCTCTCTTTATTTACTTCCGGGGGTTAAGGTAAAAGGTCACATAACTTATAAGGTAAATATTTTCTCAAATAAAATATAAAATTAATATCTGTGGTGTTCTGACACATCTTAAATATTTGAACAAATAAAATAATTTTCTCACTTATTACCATGAAAACAAATATATTGACATGATTCATAAAGACACACAATATTTGACAGATTTAGAATTTCTGACCCAGAATCTACAATAATACACATTTTTTATAAAGTTCTGGTCTCAAACATGATTATAAATGAAGGTTTCAGAAAAAGTGAACATGGCCCCAAAATTTCAACGAGCAAAACTCAGGAACGAATCAAGGGAGTGAGATAAAATTTGAGATTCTTTCACTTGGTCATTAGAAATTTGTAGAATTTTTTTCAGCCAGATCTGAGTCGGCTCAAGGGGGAGGGGCTGATTTCATCTGGACTGACCCTGATCTCTGCTTCACTCTGGAAACTGTTTTGTTTGTAAAAATGTGATGTGGAAATAAAGTGGATTTGGATTTTTTTTTTTTCGGTTGAAAAGTTCCTTTAGGATGCGACACTTCACTTGATTCTTGTAAATGAGTAAATGTTTAGTTTTTTTCTTCAAGTCAAATTGTCTCAGTATTTTATTTGGATGTGGACGTGATGTTTGGTGTGATTTATTGAGTTGTTTTTTTTATTTCAGGTCGACTTCGAACAGTTTAAAAATGCTCTTATTCTGGTTTTATCGTCAAACATCGAGGAAACTCCGACTCAGGAACCAAGACCAGGTACAACCTCAGACGCAGACGAATCATCAACAACACGGGTTTATTACACCTGGTTTAGTCCTGGTTTAGTCCTGGTTTAGACCTGGTTTAGTCCTGGTTTAGACCTGGTTTAGACCTGGTTTAGACCTGGTTTAGACCTGGTTTAGTCCTGGTTTAGACCTTGTTTAGACCTGGTGTAGCCTGGTTTAGTCCTGGTTTAGTCCTGGTTTAGTCCTGGTTAGTTTAGACCTGGTTTAGTCCTGGTTTAGACCTGGTTTAGACCTGGTTTAGACCTCCTGGTTTAGACCTGGTTTAGTCCTGGTTTAGTCCTGGTTTAGACCTGGTTTAGACCTCCTGGTTTAGTCCTGGTTTAGTCCTGGTTTAGACCTGGTTTAGTCCTGGTTTAGTTTTTAGACCTGGTTTAGTCCTGGTTTAGACCTGGTTTAGACCTGGTTTAGTCCTGGTTTTTTTAGACCTGGTTTAGACCTGGTTTAGACCTGGTTTAGACCTGGTTTAGTCAGTCCTGGTTTTACAGAACAAAGTTTAAAATGTAAAGTGAAAAGAACAAAAAACCCATAAAACAGGAAAAATAAAAACTGAATCTTTTTAAACATTAAATCTTTTTTAAACAGATGGATTAAACTTTGGTCTTTGTTCATTTCTGAGGTTTAATAGTTTGAACAGAAACAGGAAGAAGTGTCAGAACCGTCGACGTTTCCTCACATTTTGTTTCTAATCATCATCTGTTTTTTTGTTTTTTTGTTTGTTTTGTTCTTTTTTCGTCAGCGTCTCCAGAGATTCAGCCCAAGTTGGTGAAGGGCAGTAAACGATACGGGCGCAGGTCCAACCCCGAGTTCATCGACCCCGCCTCAGACCCGACCCGGTCCAGTCCAGGTCCAGACCGAGACCGAGACCGAGACCGAGACCAGGACGAGACCGATGAGTCAGCAGTTCCCTGTAAACGAGAGGTAAACACCACAAACACACACATATACACACACACACACACACACACACACACACACACACACACACACATACACACACACACACACACACAACACACACACACACACACACACACACACACACACACACACACACACACATACACACACACACACACACACACACACACACACAGACACACACACACACACAGTATACACACACACACAGTACACACACACACACATACACACATACACACACACACACACACACACACACATACACACACACACACATACACACACACACACACACACACACACACACACATATACACACACACACACACACACACACACACACACACACACACACACACACATACACAATACACACACACACACACACAGACACACACACACACACAGACACACACACACACACACACACACACACACACACACACATACACACATATACACACACACACACACACACACACACACACACGTACACACACACACACACACACACACACACATATACACACAGACAGACACACACTACACACACACACACATACACACACACACACATATACACACACACACACACATACACACACAGACACACAGACACACATACACACACACACACACACACACACACACACACACACACACAGCACACACACATACACACACACAGACAGAACACATGTTCAACTGACAATAAACCAGAATATTGAATTAAAATAAAGTCACAGAAACCAGAATAATCTTCTGCATGTGTAATATCATAAAGACTCCACACATCTGCACAAACAGCATTTAAAAAAGTGTTTTGGGACATTTTTTTACGCTTAAAATTTTACTTACTGGTTGGAAACGATGACAACACATCAGAGAATCAAACGTGTTTGAAACAAAAAATAAGAAAACAACTTCAGTTCAAGTTTTTATAGAGGATTTTCCAAGGAAAGAGAAACACAGTGACTCCTCAGCTGCTCAGTAGAAACATCTCCTCCTGCCTCCTCCTGCCTCCTCCTGCCTCCTCCTGCCTCCTCCTGCCTCCTCCTGCCTCCTCCTGCCTCCTGCCTCCTCCTCCTCCTCCTGCCTCCTCCCTGCCCTCCTCTCTGCCTCCTCCTGCCTCTCCTGCTCTCCTCCTCCTCCTGCCTCCTCCTGCCTCCTGCCTGCCTCCTCCTCCTGCCTCCTCCTCCTGCTCCTCCTCCTGCTCCTCCTGCCTCCTCTCCTCCTGCCTCCTCCTGCCCTCCTCCTCCTGCCTCCCTCCTCCTGCCTCCTCCTCCTGCTTCCTCCTCCTCCTCCTGCCTCCTGCCTCCTCCTGCCTCCTCCTGCCTCCTCCTGCTCCTCCTGCTCCTCCTCCTGCCTCCTCCTCTCCTGCCCTCCTCCTCCTCCTGCCTCCTGCCTCCTGCCTCCTCCTGCCCCTCCTGCTCCTCCTCCTGCTCCCTCCTGCTCCTCCTGCTTCTCCTCCTGCTCCTCCTCCTGCCTCCTCCTCCTGCTTCCTCCTGTCTCCTCCTGCTTCCTCCTGCTCCTCCTCCTCCTGCTTCCTCCTGCTTCCTCTCTCTCCTGCCTCCTCCTGCCCTCCTCCTGCCTCCTCCTGCTCTCCTCCTGCTCCTCCTCCTCCTGCCTCCTCCTGCCTCCTCCTGCTTCCTCCTGCCTTCCTCCTGTCTCCTCCTGTCCTGCCTCCTCCTGCTTCCTCCTGCTTCCTCCTGCTTCCTCCTGCTCCTCCTGCTTCCTCCTGCCTCCTCCTGCCTCCTCCTGCTCCTCCTCCTGCCTCCTCCTGCTCTCCTCTCCTGCCTCCTCCTGCCTGCTCCTCCTCCTGCCTCCTCCTGCTTCCTCCTGCCTCCTCCTGTCCCTCCTGCTCCTCTGCTTCCTCCTGCTCCTCCTGCTTCCTCCTGCTCCCCTCCTCTCTGCCTCTCCTCCTGCTTCCTCCTGCTTCTCCTGCTTCCTCCTGTCCTCCTCCTCTGCCTCCTCCTGCTTCCTCCTGCTCCTCCTGTCCTCCTCCTGCTCCTCCTGCTTCCTCCTGCTCTCTGCTTCCTCTGCTTCCTCCTGCCTCCTCCTCTCTCCTCCTGCTCCTCCTCCTGCTCCTCCTCTCTCCTGCTCTCCTCCTGCTCTCCTCCTGCTCCTCCTGCTCCTCCTGCTCTCCTCCTGTTCCTCCTGCCTCCTCCTGCTCTCCTCCTGCTCTCCTCCTGCTCCTCCTGCCTCCTCCTCCTGCTCCTCCTCCTCCGCCTTCCTCCTGCTTCCTCCTGCTTCCTCCTGCCCTCCTCCTGTCTCCTCCTCTCCTCCTCCTCCTGCCTCCTCCTGCCTCCTCTTCTCCTGCCCTCCTGCTCCTCCTCCTGCCTCCTCCTGCTTCCTCCTGCTTCCTCCTGCTCCTCCTGCTCTCCTGCTCTCCTGCTTCCTCCTGCCTCCTCCTGCTCCTCCTGCTCCTCCTCCTGTCCTCCTCCTGCTTCCTGCCCTCTGCCTCCTCTTCTCCTGCCTCCTCCTCCTGCTCCTCCTGTCTCCTCCTGCCTCCTCCTGCTCTCCTCCTGCTTCCTCCTGTCTCCTCCTCTTCCTCCTCCTGCCTCTCCTCCTCCTGCCCTCCTGCTCTCCTGTCTCCTCCTGCTCCTCCTGCTCCTGCTCCTCCTCCTGCTCTCCTCCCTGCTCCTCCTCGCTCTCCTGTCTCCTCCTGCTTCCTCCTGCTCCTCCTGCTCTCCTGCCTCCTCCTGCCTCCTCCTGCCTCCTCCTGCCTTCCTCCTGCCTCCTTCCTCCTGCCTCCTCCTGCTTTCCTCCTCCTCCTCCTCCTCCTCCTCCTGTCTCCTCCTGCCTGCCTCCTGCCTCCTCCTGCTTCCTCCTGCTTCCTCCTGCCTCCTCCTGCCTCCTCCTGCCTTTCTCCTCCCTGCTCTCCTCCTGCTCCTCCTGCCTCCTCCTGCCTCTCCTCCTCCTCCTGCCTCTCCTCCTCCTCCTCCTGCCCTCCTCCTGCTCCTCCTGCTTCCTCCTGCCTCCTGCCTCCCTCTTCCTTCCTCCTCCTCCTGCCTCCTCCTGCCTCCTCCTGCTCCTCCTCCTCCTCCTCCTGCCTCCTCCTGCCTCCTCCTGCCTCCTCCTGCCTCCTCCTGCCTCCTCCTCCTCCTGCCTCCTCCTGCCTCCTCCTCCTCCTCCTCCGTACACTAGAAATCACACTTGTTTACAGCCGGTGTGTGTTCAGAATCACCGTTGAAGTTTCCGGTCCAGACGTCATTTATCCACCGACGTGTCAGTTTTTAGACCCTTCGTCTGCTTCAGTCGCGCCGTCGCTGGAAAGAATCTCCACGAATCACCTCGGTTTGACTTCGCTCCTTTTCCTCTTCTCTTCGTCTTTCAGCGACCTCAAAAACAGACTTTCTTTTAAGATGAACTGGTCGTTGATTCTCGTCCGCCACTGCAACAAACTTTGTACCAACAGCGAGGGAGCTACAGTTTGAAAAACCCGCTAAGAGCCGCGGCGTTGGTCGAGTAAACGGCGTCTTGTGTGTGGAATGTGTGAGAAGTGAATGTAAAACCACATAATGTCAGCGCTGGCGACTCAGTTACACTAGAAACGTCGGTTCTCAATCAAACTCCCTAACAGCCAATAGAAAACGAGGCAGCCTCTTTATCTATTGGCTGATGTTTATCTGGCCCCATCGCCTCCACAGCTGATGGATTTTCATTCTTTTTTTTTTTTTTGGTCATTATTATTACCAGTCTTTATAATGCTACGTTGAACTTTCATTGACAATTTGAAACAGAAAATAATAATTCTCCTGGACCTGGATCAGTCCTGGATCAGTCCTGGTTCAGTCCTGGTTCAGTCCCACATCTCAGTCACTGACGTCACGTAAACAGGAAACGGTCGTTTTCTGTTTTTTCCATTTTTCATTGAAACACAAAATCGAAAACTGAAAAAACAAATCATTATCTGTTTTTTCATTTTGGTTTTGGAGACAAATAATGAAGAAAACTGTTGTTTTTTCCTTTTCTTATTTTTGGTTTTACATTGAAAAATGAATGAACAAACGACACACAGATTGAGTAAAATCTGTATCACGTCTGTCAGACTCTGGTCGCACCAGGTCGTCTGAGTCGAGTCAGACGGTGATGGACGATGTGCAGAGTGAAAACTTCTGTGTGTCTAAAGACGCTCGTGTTGTTTTAAGTACAAACACACACGGTCCAGTTCACACACTTTTACATCACCGTGTGCAGCAGATTTACTCCTGAAACAAAAACACTCGACTAAACACGGAATAAAAACTAAAAACGTGACGACACTTTTGTGTTTCTGTTCAGATCCTCATCAAATAAACGAAGCCTAAAGTCGAACTGACGAACACACGAGTTACTGACACACGACGGGTTTTTAACTGATTAGTGTTTGTGCCGAGTTAAAGTGTGCCAGTGTTAAAGTGTGCCAGTGTTAAAGTGTGCCAGTGTTAAAGTGTGCCAGTGTTAAAGTGTGCCAGTGTTAAAGTGTGCCAGTGTAAAAGTGTGCCAGTGTTAAAGTGTGCCAGTGTGTTAAAGTGTGCCAGTGTTAAGTGTGCCAGTGTGCCAGTGTTAAAGTGTGCCAGGGTTAAAAGTGTGCCAGGGTTAAAGTGTGCAGGGTGTGTGCCAAGTGTGCCCAGTGTTAAAGTGTGCCAGTGTTAAAGTGTGCCAGTGTTAAAGTGTGCCAGTGTTAAAGTGTGCCAGGGTTAAAGTGTGCCAGGGTTAAAGTGTGCCAGTGTTAAAGTGTGCCAGTGTTAAAGTGTGCCAGTGTTAAAGTGTGCCAGTGTAAAAGTGTGCCAGTGTTAAAGTGTGCCAGGGTTAAAGTGTGCCAGGGTTAAAGTGTGCCAGAGTTAAAGTGTGCCAGTTAAAGTGTGCCGTTAAAGTGTGCCAGTGTTAAAGTGTGCCAGTGTTAAAGTGTGCCAGTGTTAAAGTGTGCCAGTTAAAGTTGCCAAAAGTGTGTGTGTGCCAGTGTGTGCCAGTGTTAAAGTGTGCCAGGGTTAAAGTGTGCCAGTGTGTAAAGT